AAAAGGTGAAGAAAAATATATCCATACTCGTCTCGATCTTTTCGATCGATACTATTGTCTACGCTTACATCGACAACTATGGGGATCCTATTTAGAGATTGGTTTACAACAGCTGCTATGGCCAGTAAGTTCATTGTTTCAAAACATTAAACTTCATTAGTTATAGAATAATTCTTCTCGAAAAATAAAGGATCGATTGTATGCAATGGCCAAGTCACATAATTTCGAAGTAGGTCGCCAATACCTTATGAATTATATCAAGGATCTGAACAATGAATTGGATCAATGTCAGATGGAACTCAAAAAACAATCGGAATTATGTCCTATAAAAACTTTATCATTAGAACAAATTGATCATTCTCTGAATGAATTTGTCGATTGTCAAAGAAAATATTTATTCATGAGAAATAATCGTCAACTGATCAAAATCAAAGATAATTTTCATACCAAAGAATTGGCTATATCTATATCTACCTATCATCCCACCAAGAGTCAAGTAAGTATCTATCCCGTTTCTTTTATTAAAGATCTATACTCTTATTAATTTATATGTGTTAAGAATGAAATAATGAATGGCTTAAAGGCAATACGAACACAACAAGGAAAAATTTACGAAGAACTTCTTATGTTAGAAATGAGAATTCTATGTCAATTTTTACCAAAAAATTTCGATCAGCTTCAATATTTCATTGCACCTTTCACTTATGCACCATTCAATCATAGTCAAAAAGCGATTCAAGTCAAAAATACACATTATAAAACAATACAAGAAGCAAAACGTCTATGGTTAATTATTTCTTTGAATGCTTATGAAATTAAGCTACAAGACTATGAAAAACAATATCAAAATAAATTTCTAGAATTGGAATCACAATTATTATTTACTATCATGAGTAATGGTTCCTCTATTTTCAATCAATTTAAAGAATATATGATTTGCCAAACAAATACATTAAAACAAGATATTGTTAAGAAAGTTTCATCTTATCGAAGTACATTACTTCGACTTCGTCAACGTTCATCGCCATCGAGAAAAAACATCATTGGTGTCTCACCTGAAACCTATCTTGATTTGATCTCGAATCCATTCAATACACGTCAATGGAATCATCTTTCACTTGGTAAGATATTCTCCGGAGAGAATTTTGAATTTCTTTTTTTTGGTACCATCATATTAGGTCCACTTTGTATACGATTGAATCAAAGTGCTATTCGTCCTCGACCTCAACAAGAAATTCAAATTAAAAATGAACATAAAACCATTAATGATAAAGTTCAGCATTATCTTGTATCACCACCACATAATATACCACTAAAATCACTGGCTCTAAAAACATTTTCAAATGATCTTCTCAATTATTTTAACCGTTCTTATTTTTCTCCATTATCATATAAAGATCAAGTGCGAACAGCAGAACAAGCAAAAACTGTCGCATCAATTCGACGAAAAATTGA